TGTCTAAAGAATCAGTTTCATGTCAGAGGCTCCATTTCCACATTTTTGCAGATTTCTTAGCTTCCCATCAGCTCGTCTGACGCCGTGGACGCGGTTGTGCTGTTACCGAACAAAGTCAGAGCACAGACGATCACAGACACACTTAGACAACGGCACATTATCAGGCCTGGGTTTCCTGTTAGCGCTGCTCCCTCTGGGAGAATATGTTGATGCATTTTCCTGCTTTCCCTGCACTCTTCCCTGATGTCAACTCACACTGAAGGCAGTGCACAGGAGGAACTCTCACCTGGCATGGGCATTGCTTCAGCACCTGCAGAACGCATTTACAGGACGTTTAAGCTGCATTAGGCCTGATGGTGATCAGAGTTATCACGTTACTGAAGGAAAGAATTGTAACAAATTGATTATTGGCTAAACTGATTATTTTCTGAATTAATCCATTTTTTGATTAAATGACTAATCGTTTAATTGAGAAGCAGTTTCTTTTTGGCTGTTGTTTATCCGCCTTAATTAAAACTCATCTCCAGTTTTTTTTAACCCAAATAAAGTGACTTTAACTTTAAATAAGAGTAAACTGAAATAAAAATCTCATCCATGAACTCAGATTTTCAGACTTGTGGGAAACGGTTCCTTTTCTCTGCCTCTCAGAATATTTTTGCATCATTTTTGAAGAATTTAATATCTGGTAAAACAAGTTTTATGAAACATAAGAATAATAGATTTGGACAGTGGACCTAGGCTGGCAGAATGAGCAGGATCCCAGCACATTTCCGTCAAAACACTGAATATTTTTCAGCTTGTTTTGGATCCATTCTTCTCCATCTGTCCCTCGCTGCTCAACAGAGGTTGACAAATGTGACTTCAAACTGTTCATCTGGCATCTCACATCACCAACCAACACAAAGCCCTTTCACAGAAAGCTGGCAGTTTCAGCATTGGTCCGAGCTGGCAGTAAATCATAGGAGCTGTAGCATGTGTTTTTGGTCCGGTGACTGCTGACAGATGGAGAGCACAGGCATCTTGTTGACTCCTGTTGTTTGTTTTTGTCGGGCTTTAATGTTCGTTGCAGATGTCATCGCTGATTGTGAAACACAGAGACACTGCACGAAACGTCAGGCTCATGAAGGTATTTACATGTAAACATGAATTTCTACAACTCTGAGGGTACAAACCCAAAATTCATCCTGTTATAATCAAGGTAGGTCAACAAATTGGAAATGAGTTGGGATTTTTATTGAAAGATCAATAGCACTAAAATCTGTGTGAGAATATGAAGTCAGTACATGGTAAGCTTTGCATGAAAGACTCGCTCTCTAAAGGTTGACGATTTAAATATTTTATCTTGATGTAGAAAGTCAGGAGACGTATGTGAGGCTTGGGGAGGACTCGTATGAGGACGTGAGGTGTATGATAGTAGTGGCAGATGGTTTTATGGTGGATTATGTCAGGGAGCTGCTCTGAGCTCCTTTTTATTTGCAGTGGTGATGGACGGCCTGACAGATGAGGTCAGGCAGGACCCTCTGTGGATGATGATGTTTGCAGATGACACTGTGATATTTAGTGAGAGTAGGGGGCAGGTGGAGGAGAGCCTGGAGAGGTGGAGGTATGTGCTGGAGAGAGGAGAATCATAAAGCTAAAGGCTTGAAAAATGAAAAGTTTTGTGGATTTCTTCTGTTCTCAGTTTCCTTAGAAATCTGCTGCTACAAATGCTCACTCATTAGCAGATGGTGTTTTTCTCGTGTTATGAAGGTAATACAGTATCTTGTGCTGCCAGCAGGACTGATTTACAGATTGTAAATAACAGCCCTTCTCAATGACTAACTTGCATGTTCCTCATATAAACTTAAGCAATGTTACCTTGAAAATTGCTCATTATTGTGCCTTTGTTTCTAAAAAGAGCTTCCTGGGGGGGTTTAGCTTTTTTATGGGACTGTTTTTAATGTTTGGTGTTTTTTTTATGACTGAAAACCTTCTTCCCCACATGTTAAAGTATAAAAAAGAGCGAAGAATGAAGCTATTTGCATTTTTGGCTAACTGAATGAATTAATGAAAACCTGATGTTAGATAAATGTAGAAAAAGAATCAGCCTGCATGTACCTGCAGTGTTTGCTGAAGAGGAAGGTGTGTATGAGAAATCTGCAGTTTGGTAACAGGTGATTATCTCCTTATCCACACACACACACACACACACACACAGCATGGCCTGATAACAGGTCCGGGATGAAGTGCAAACACGCACAGATACACCAGAGCCCCTCTTACTGTAGCGTGACTGTAAGGTGTAGTGGAAGCTCTGCTCTGTGCTGACTGATCATTGGACTGATTGCTGGACATTTTAACTACGCTGCAGTCGTGATGGGCAGAAACTGAATGTATAGAACAGATTTTTTCCTGACTTTAAACCAGAATACAAACAACAACAGGAGCATCTAAAGCAGAAAGCTGCAGGACAACAGTCTGACTTCAGGTCAGCTAACAGTAAGACCATAACGTGACGTTACTACGTGCTGTTTTTTAGCCGATGCTGAAGTTCTCATGGTTTGTTTTTCACCCTGTAAGTTCTTCAAAGCCACGTATGTTGTCGCCCGTCAGCATTTCTGAGGCTTTTACACAGATAGTGAACCCAGCAGCAGAAAAACATCTGATTTCAGTGGACCATCAAACTGCAACACAAAGCCAACCTAATGTTTAGTCGACAGCTGCCTGAAAAGAATTACACAGCTCTTGGACTCAGTGCTGGACAGTGAAGTCATTGTTCTATTCCCCCTCAAGACTATTTGCTAGGTGTGCATTTGTTGGTCTACGTCACTTACATTTCTCTGTTAAACCTGAACTTTTTCTAAAAAAGCAGAGTGACCATGGACCCGAGGAACACCCCATCCTAAATTCAGCAGAGGCCACGCCCATCATGGATGAACTGGATGTCGGGGAAGATGGCAGGAAAGGTTAGTAGTATTATTTTGTGATCCTATAAATAAATAAAACAAACTTATTGGAAAGCACTTTTGTGGTGGTGCTACGGTGGCTGCAGCTCCCTCTGCTGGCCAAACCTTAACACAGCGTGTTTACTTCTGTAGTTCTACTGAGTGTGAAATATTAGGAAAATGTAACAAACGAAATGCAGTTGTGTTCTACGTATCGTGACATTGGCTACTGTAACTGAACAGTGATAGAATAAAGAGGGTACGTACCTCGACCTGAGCTGAACATGTCCTCCACACCGATTATGACTCGAGCATAGACTGTATATGAAAGATGAAGCCACCATCACTTCACCCATTGTTTTTTGAGTTCCACTTTGAAGCCTTAATGTTTGCATGTTGGTTGTAGTCCTGTTTAATTTTGGGAGCCCAACATTCTCACTGTTATTTAAACAAGAAGGTCAAGTACTAACCTACTAGCTAAAGCCAGCAAGGCTAGTTAGCAAGCTGCATGAATAAAATGCACAGCAATCAGAATAACAGCTCTTACTTTGTGCTCAGCAGCATTCTAGACTAGGTTAGGATTTTACTCACCCAAACTAAAGCACAGACTTCTTGGATATTTTCAATTACACGAGATAAATCATTTTTAGCCTCAGAGGCTGTGACTCGGCATTATTTCCCTGGATATAGAAATGATCGAGACTAGTTAGCTGACGTTATTTCTTGAGGGCATCAAGATGATGTCTCCCAGTTTTACTTATTTCATTATGATAGATATTTGGACAGAATAACTCTTTTTGTACTCTTTACGGTGAAGAATCCTTACAGAGAATCGTGGTTCCTGATCTGAATGTCTACACTGGGCCAAACCTCTGAAGGTTTTTATGTCAATTCATCTGTAAATTTGATGTGGTCCTGAAACCAAACAGACCGAACTGAACTAATCACATCACCAACATGCATTTCCATTAAAATTAGTAAAGAAACCAAAAACCAAAAAAATCAATTGGCCAAATTATGATTTCTATGCTCAGCAGTGCCTGTGACGAACAGTACACGGCCTTTTGTCAGTTCTGTGACATAAAGCATCTCATGACAGAAACTTGAGTTCTCACATAAAACTGTTCTGACATTATTATGGTCATCAGACCACAATTTTAATTTTTTAAGTGTGAAAAAAAAGGAAGTTAAAAAATATCATTATATGTTGTGAAAAGAGGGAAAAAACATCTGGAAACTAGGGTTCAGTTTGATAAGTGAAGTTTCGAAAGACCAGTCAATGGTGACATGAACTGAGTGGAGCTGTTATAAACGAATGCCTGACATGTGAAAACATCTTATTTACCCTCGTCCACGTCGGCCTCTGATAATGATGCCGCCCCGCCCCCCTGGGGTCATGACCCTGAGGTTAAAATGGTGACAGATAATCTTACCTTTCAGACATCAGTTTAGAAAGTTTCTGAGACTCAGTTTATCAGAAGTCTAACGAAACAAGCAAAGAAAGACTTAATTTACAGGTTTGAAGTGTTAGCGTTCGCAGTGAAAGTGAATCGGTTCTTGTTAATGTGACTATTAAGGGAAGCTGTGTGTCTCCTGTTTCTTTTTGCTTGTTACTAAACTGTACTAACTCTAAAATTCAAGCTCCATCAAACCTCCACGAGTAGCAGTTCAACAGTAACCCTGCTTTTTGAAAAAGGCCACAAGTACCTGACACGTCAAGCTCAACTGCCAGAAAACACTTTCAAAGAAAGAAAATTGAACGTCTCATTTGGAAGAAAAAGTTGATGGTCTAATGCTGGAAAACGCTCCAAAGCCTTACACATAGCTGCCCTGATAGATCCCTGTATCTGATTATTATTCCTCTGAAGAATAATTTGCACTGATTTGAATTTTACATTCAGTTTATGAGCAGACATTAAAATGTCATTTTTACCTTATCTGTTAATTGAGAACAATGAATCTTCTGGAGGCACAAATATTTCTTATTTAAACAGCTGGATTTGAGGTCAAACATCATGATGGTGAAATACTGGCTCCACATCTGATTGGGTCACTTGTAAGATTGTTTCCAAGACTTGTCACAAATACACACCTCAGATTATAAAGCACTGTGCAACAAAGTGTCACCTCGAGTCACCTCGATTTCATTAACATTGGAAGTAGGTGCAGCGATTTATGAACAGATGTTCTGATATAATCTGGCAAACTTCCTTCAGATTGTCTTCAGCCGCCTTTCCACTGATAACATTTCTGCTGAAGCTTGAATAGCAGATGGATCAAATAAAGATCCAGATGCTTTTCTCAGGTTCTCTGTTGGGTCTTTGCTGGATTCTCTTCCTGTTTCTTAAGGACATGACTTCAGACACTGTTCATCTGAAGCAGACAGGTTTTTGTTTTAGGCATACACTGCACACTATGATGAGATATATCAAGTTGCTGGCTAATAGCTCTTTGGTAATCACCTTGTTAATACAAAAACACATTTTTATGTTTTCTTTTATAAATAAAAAATAGA